TATTTTTCAAGTAAATTTTCTTTTGCGATCTATCGATATACTTATTTTTAAAAGGTATTTTTCTGTCCTTTAATATCTTATCAAGTTTAATGAATTATATCTCATTTTGAAGAGGGGAAGCTCACGTACATGCGAAAAATAGTCACGTTGTTCAAATTTAGTTATTTATTAAAACAGGGTGTTTTAAAAAGCTGAAAGCACTGTATCCGGCCAATAAAGCGCCAAATCTGCCATAATACTTCATAAAATTGAATGATTGAAACACCATTTTGAAGAAAAGCTTCACTGATTGATGCAAAAATAAAAATTCTTGAATAGGGTTGCCCCCGCTTAAAATGTTAGTGACTAATTTTATAAATATCGACTAAAAATTTACATTGCGTTCAGCGAATTAAAGGCATTTAAATGCACTCTTAAGCCGAAGTAATAATTTTGAAGAGGGTTGCCAACTATCTAAAAATATTAATATTTATAGGCATTTTTATATATATTTTACAAAGCTATTTTCCTGTTACCAAACGATATCGCCTTTAATATTTTATAAAGATTTTCATTTGGAAGGAGAGAACTTCACGTAATATGCACAACTTCTCTTATCTGTCGTTAGACATGGCAGTAGGACGGCCATCGTTGAAAGTTCAGTTAAACGATCAGCTTTATGGCTACGTTTAAAATTCATAAGTAGACGATTTAGAAATTCACACGGAATGCTCCAATGAAACGATTAAATGTTTTTGTAATTACGACAGTATTATTACTACCGTATTCAATGTCTCGCAAATCAATTATAACAATACTCCACAAATTTATTCAGCAGCGATTTTATGTCCAAAAAATTATGATTGGCTTTATCATTTCTAACATTGTTTTCAAACAAGTTTTGTAAGGTTTCAATTCAAATACCTGAGTTTATTAATTTCTATTTTATTCCAAAATATTGGATGCGAATAATTCGCACGGGTAAACTAGTTTTTTTATAAAACTATTGTACATGGTAAGCCGGGTGTATAAATTTTGAGTAAATTAACGTCCTTAAATTTCAAAATATATAAAATTCAAAATATTCAAGCATTTCTGAAATTTACCGTTATATGAAAAGTGGTTAATTTTAGTCCGATTTCAACAATTATCAAAGTTTTGCTTTTATTTGGCCAGCACAATAACCACACGGAGTTTGGTACAAATTGGTAGAACGGATACTGAGATACATATATGTGATCATAAGTGGGCGGTGTCACGCCCATTTTCCAAAATTTTATCATAAACGTATTTTTTTGGTAAAGAATTGTTGCGAGCATCAATTTTGAATAAAGCAGCTTTAACTTTTACTGATTTATCGAAGATTTTACATTTCTCTAAATTACCGCTATATTGGATGTGGGCGTGATTATTGTCCAATTTTAAAAATTTTCGGCCATTTGGTATGCTGTACCAAGGCAAACAACTGTGCCAAGTTTGGAAGAAATTGGTGCAGCGGTTACCAATTACACATGTAACAAAAAATTTATAATATTCTAATTTTGCGTTTAAAAATTATTGTAAATATCAATTTTTAGTGAATAACCTTCAGTAGTTACTAAAATATTGCAGTTTCCGCAATTCTGAAAATTACCGTTATATGGGAGGTAGGCGTAGTTATTGTCCGATTTTGCCCATTTTCAATACCATCCGTCCTACGCCCGAAAGAAGTACACGTACCAAGTTTCGTTACGATATCTTAATTTTTACTCGAGTTATCGTATGCGCAGACGGACGGACAGGCATCCACCGCTTTATCGATTTATCTCTTCATTCTGATCATTTATGTATACATTTGTCTATATCTATCTTGATTCGTTTTGCCTGTTACAAACAACCGTTAGGTGAACAAAGTTATAATACCCTTGTGCACAAGTGCGCTCGGGTATAGAAATTGTTAGTCAGTTACGGCTTTTTTGCATTTCAGCGACTATTGAGTTAGGGCCTTTCTATATTAAGGTAACGATATAAATAAAAGTTTCAAACTATACAAAATTTAGGAAAATCTAACTTATTTGCATCAAAATTTCGAAGTTTTTAATCTGAATTTTTAGAACATTTTTGGGTATGCAGCCACTGGCGTGCTTTGTTGAGCTCGACCAAAATCGCTTAGGCGGTTGTAGAGCCAAATAAGAAGAAGAAGGTTCTAGCCCATACAATTATATCAAGCGGCTCAAAAATCGCGTTTTCTTTAAGGATTTCTGCCGATTCCCTCCCGCACAGCTTTTATGGCTCCACTCATACAAACAACAACACGCGAACGTCCGCTTCTGACCCGGTCCTCCACTTGTCAAGTTTCTAAGAAACGAGCGATGGTACGATAAACAAACCAGAGTTTCAGAAACTGTCAGCATCACAGCGACCGCACTAGTATTCATACTTTTGCTTCGCTGTGAAATTTTTAATTTTCATTCGAACTGTTTTGCTTTTGCTGTGACTGAAAATTGTATTTTGTTTTTTTATCGGCAGTTTATTGAAAACAATTTATTTCTTTTGATCTGCTGTGATAGTACTTTTCCTGTGCTGTGATCTGCTTGACTGTCATGTGACTCGCCAGGTGTGAGTTGCGACTAGAGATGGGCACGGGCCTAAATTTTCAGCCCGGCCCGGCACGAGTGCAAAATCAACTTTCAAAAACACGCTCGATCCCGCACGTTAAGAATTTCAGTGGGGCCCGGCCCGGTACAACGGGACCCGTCCCAGCCCGGAAATAAAGAGCCAAGAAAATTATATGAAGTGGTTGACACGAACTCGTAAAGAAATTTCTGTACGAAAAATAAAGAAAATTCTGGAAAAATTCTGAAAGATATTCTTCACATAGCAGCATTATTGTCGTTGCTTCACAGATTTTCTTCCGAAATTTCGTAAAAGAATGGAAGTGTGCGTAATTTATTTCATTTTAGAAAATTCGGCAAAAAATCGAATTAAATCTTAACGAATTCTTTAAAATTTCTTTACAATGCAGAATACTCTGAAAAAATGGTTTGCAGGGTATGTACATATTTTTAATTTTGTGTTTATGTATGTATGTATATTTACTTAAGCGAATCAATTTTTTAGATCAAAGATTTTTATACATAATATATTTTCTGGGAAGTAGAAAAAGTGGAAGGTATTTTATGTACAGATATGTAAACAAAACTACTAAGTATCTTATTTTTTCTATCGGTTTCCAATAATTTCTTTTTTAGCTTTTATCTTATCAAAAGAGTTTTAATATGTACTATTTTTTTGTATAAAATCAAAAGCTTATCTAAATTTGTAGTATTAGCAACGGGCTTTTCCGTGCTTATTCGTGCTTTTATGAAATTTTACTGAACGCCCATGCAGATAGACTGCGATATTTAAAAATCTTCCCATCTCGGGCTGAAAATGCATGTTGTATAGTTTAAGTGAAGAATTTATACAAAATACATACCGTTCCTAAATATAGAAAGACCCAATCTAACATTTTTTTCTTCCCATAGTAATTTTAAAACCGAATAAAAAGTAAAGTTTTTTAGTTGCGAATTTCTTTTAAATGCTGTTTTTATAAGGGCATAAACAAAATAAAAATATTTCTTTAATTTTATTAGATGGTTATAAAGCTGAATTTCGAAATGTGCTATAAAACAATATACATGCCTAAATAAAGGGCATAAGTAAAAATATGCAACCCGTTTGATGGATGACCAAAAATAGCAACTGTCGCCAATTTTTTAACGTGACAACTGTGCGTTAATTTACACAAACACTTCCCGCCAAAAAGAAGTGCTAATGTGCCTATCAAAAGATTACAACATGCATAGAGTTTAGGTGCAGTAAATAAATAAATACATACACATATATGTGCATTAGGGTGGTCCAAAAACAGTTAAGTCGCTCTCACCCCCTAGGATTGTTCTATATTGAAAAAAGTATTCCCCTATTTTTTTATTTTGAAATCAAAAAATATTTACAGGTATAAAATGGTATAAAATTCCTGAAAATCAATATTTTTCGATCGGAAAACTCCGGTTCTCTTCAAAAGACTTTGAATAATAATATACAATTGTTTATTTAAAAATTTTTTTAAACTAACGATTTTGTATTGGTCCGCTCATTGCCTTTTTCGGGGTTTTTATGGGTTTTTGGCGGACTTATAAATTATAGTTGCGACTTTTCTACGAAAAATTGTTTTTCCCCCATATAAAATACTTGGAAAACTTTGGGCGCTTTGAGCGACCTCTAAATATTTTTTGATTTCAATATAAAAAAATAGGGATATATTTTTTTCGGTATAGAACAATCGTAGGGGGTGAGGGTATGAAAATTCCGACTTTACTTTTTCACATGCATTTTTTTGGACCACCCTAATGTACATACTATATATGTATGTATGTGGCCAAAATAGTGTAGATCAAGTGATATGTACACACGAATGTAGGTATGTATGCCGGTATGTACATTTATGCAAATGTTTGCAAATTCCATTCTTACAAAAACAACAATGTAAGCATACTCTACGTAAGTTTAGCGGTTTGTATGAATGCCTCCTCATGAACATATGACTCAGTTCACCAATTAATTATTGAAAGAGAATATGTCCATAAGTACCGGCAGAAAGTTAATACATACATAAATACATACATACATGGAAATATACATACATACATACATACATTCATACATACATATGTGCACTGCGCAAATATATAAGTCAGAATTATACGTAAGGTAGGTTGTAGGACCACGGGCAATGATGTGGCATGGAGTCAAAACTTAATGACTGGGTGAGTACATAAATACTTAGTAAGTATATAGTAAGTATATATAGAATATGAAGTATACATATACATACCTATAGGTACGATTCTATCATTTTTGATATATGTATGTACGTATGCATATAGATATGATCACG